AGAGGTGGAGCCATAGGTGACGCCTCACTTTGGAAGAATAAAAGTCTGGACAGTCTTTTTTATCATTAACAATAACTGGCAGAGATCGGTGGTTAACTTGATTTCCCTATTCTTCAAGGTGCTCGGTTGTGTTTTGTTTGAGTTTTGATAAGTCTACCGGAGTTGACCGTACGAAAACGGCAGAATAATGTTGGCTGGATGACAGGTTTGTGCTTTGTCCGTTGTGTCGAGCATCCCCCTCGCTAAATATTCTCTTTCGCTGGTACAACTTGAATGGGCAAACAAAATTCGATTGCTAAGTTCTTGTGAAAACTGGCTGTTTTAAGTTCGTCTGATTTGAACATAAACATGCAAAACATCTTTTATGTAAATATATTTCCCTATATACTAGTTTATGACAGCGATTTGCGGAATTCCGTAGTTACGAGTAGCTGTACGGATTACGTGTTTCATGGCTTCAAGATCTGTTATATGTCGTCTTGCTATCGATTTGGTTAGTTCGTTATTTTGAAACCACTTGACTGAGATCAACGATCTAATTACAACTCTATTCATTTTTCAGGTGATTTCGTCTACTATGAGGAACCGGATTTTGAATACTACACCATAGGCCTAATTGAGGAGATAAAGTCTTCACGTCGTGACAAGTTTGCTGTGCTAGTCAAATGCTTTTATCGGACACACGATATTCCGGAAACTTCCAAACAATCGGTTTTGGAACGGGAGCACTATCACACACCTTCAAATTCCAAACTGATGAATGATGTGAGTATTCAGTCATGTTTTCGCGCTTAGTGATGGTCGTGATCGAAGGCGATTCCTGATTATTATTATTATTTGTCACTTCTGTTACTTTGCATTTAGCGGTATTATATATTTATTCATTGATTGCTCTTTTTGTTCCCTAAAGGAAACAGGCACAACACATTATCTCCTGCTTCGTCGTATCGTCCAGTTGAATTCTAATCTTCAAGTTTGATAATCTTGTAAATGTCACGTCTACTGGTAATGGAACGTCTGAAAATTAATTGACAAGCTCGGTAGGCAACTGAATGTCAACGAAAGTTGTTTTCCACAGACGACATGATAGCATCCGCTTGTCATGCGGAACTCGCATCAATTCCGCGCATTTGCGGTGCACGATAGTGACACAAAAGTTCACCGGAAGAGTCGGTGTTGAATTCTCCCTTGTTTGCCCAGTACGCGAAGGCTCTCTCGTTTTTAATCCTGGTCAAAGAAAACAGAACATTCCGCAGTAAATACAAACGAGAACAAGGGGAACCTTTAAACTGGATTGATGATCGCTGATAAATAACCTATGGAACATAGTGAATTGTTCGTCACCGGACAATCGCTAACTAGTTCTAATTAAAGCCATTGATTTCAAGTAGTTTGTGCAACCTAAGTTTGTGAGCATGTGACTTGTTGATGATCTATCTAACGGACAATTGATTTACTGTGGCTCAAAGTTCATGTGACGAAGCAACTTCTGTTTTTGGCATTAGAAAATTGCTCAATAGAGCCATGTGGTAGTATGTCGAACATGTGGCAACAGCTTATCTGGACTGGTGAGCCAATTTCGTCCCGAGACGAAGTAACCAAAAAAAACCTTGTCAGGCAGTTTTGTTGAATATCTTCAGAAACATGGCAATTCCTTCGGTTTTGCACGATAATGGCTACTCATTTCACATTTGATCCTTGTTTTGTTCAAACATCTGAGATATTTGTTCACGTTTATCGTACATGGCCGGTGGTGGTGCAATGGTTTAGCCGCTGTCACCGGTGTGCTTCAGACCCTGTGGTCCGAGGTTCAAGCCCCGCCATCGCCACTCAACGTAAATAGTAGGCAGCGTTGCTGTCGCCCAGTTCTATACCACGCCTGACCTAGCGGGACTTTATGTAGTTCGCCACTCCAAGTCCCAGGGCTTAGGTTGACGGTTACCATCACTGAACGGCAGATCTTCGTGACTATGGGGCCCGCCCCCTCTGCTGTTCATCGCATACTGGTGTGCAATAAAAATGTGTGATGTGTTCCATTTGTCATCGACCGACTAAATTCCCTCCCATACACGCGCAAATATGTTATTGATATCTGAGTTCCTAACTGCTCTCCCATTCCTATTTTTATGGTTGCATCCTATTTAATTTTCTTGAACAACTTGCATTAGGACCGTCTGATTTGTTTCGTTTGTAGATCCATGCCAAAATCCGAGTTCATACCACAGAAGTTGGATCATATCTCCAACCTTACGCTCACGTGACTTAGTCATTGCACATAGAGCGGATGCAAAAAGATTTTTTATTGTTCGTTTCACGATCTTTTTCACGGGCTTACGTAAATTCTGTATTAGTTAAACCAAATTGAACTGTTCCGGGTAACTGAACTTCGTGAAACTGGTTTCTCATACTTTTCACGGTGGGATTTTCTGTGAACGAATTTCTATTCACTCCTAATTCAGCACTAAGCTCCATCTCCATGTTGATAATTCTCTTTCATCTTTGCATTGATTTTTTATATCCTACGAATTAAAACGCATTAGCTATATGACACCCAGTTTCCTTACTTTTTGACTGTGATTTGATAACAATCATCCCCTTATTCCTCTTCCATCCCTCTTATTTACCATCGTAACTTTAACCTGAATTGCGTCTAACTGTGGTACATTAAAATGTATATACATCGCTCGGTTATTAATTCTGCAATTTTGACCCAGTTATGTGTTCCAGAATCGGGACGAGTTCGCCTCCATAATCCGAGTTTCTTTGAGGGTTCCTGATCAGACCAGGATGCAATTTTCTTCCGGTTGGAACGAAAGCGGTCATAAAGTCCTACGTTCCATTGTTACAATACTCGTTCATGCTAGTGTTCGGTTCAGGTGAATAGTGCTTCTCACTCTCATTGCATTCGATTCATCCCGTTGTTGCTGTGAGAAGTCAGTTCGATCATGGGCACGATCTCTAGCAGAAACCGACTCATGTCCGAAATCCGGACCAAGCAGATAGCTCATGTCCATCGGAACACGTGATAACGATCAATATCAGATATGTAAAGGGATAAAACATATGCTTTCTTGATATTCGCGCCGGAATTTTACGACTGTAAATAGACCCAATCATGTGGCTCCGCTATTTGATCGCACGACAACAACTTTAGGGTTATTTATGCTGTCGTGTCTACTCTCTGCCTCATGGCAACGATACTTTAAGCAGATGTCATAAAAACAACTAGAATTCATCGAAATCGAATATGTCCGAGTGCAATTTTGTGTTTCCATTTGCGTCAAGTTTTTCCAGGCAGCCCGGCGAACTTGAAAAAAATGACTGTTAATCAAAAGCATCATGAAACTCGCTCCACTGCATACAAATCAAAGCTATTTCAATCAACTGTTTTGATAAAAATATAACACCTTAAGTACCTACCTCTTTTGCTGATGCACTCTCCCGACGTAATTATAATGCCTTAAGAGTGAACAGTGAACTTACTCCAGGATGTTATGTGAATTTGGAATCCGTTGCCTATTCCGCCAAATGCATTTTTCGTTGTGCGCGTCTGTCTGTTAATGACACTAAAAACCGATCGGTTGAATGAGACCTACCTGTTCGTGACAGTAGTCATTAGGTACTGCATCATTTTCCGGTTTGTCAAGCGAGTTCGCCGTACGCTACACACGAGATTTGCATTTCCTTATCCGATATATTTTCTATCACCGCCGTTTGCACTATACATTTTGCTATTAAAATAACAAATCCCTTCGCAGAGTTCCTCATTCCACTTAGTCTGCATCACCACCAGTTAATTCCTCCTTGTTATTCCTTTTACTGTTTGCTTGACGAGTTCGTTATTTAACTAAGTTCATACTTTAAGTGGCAAGATAGATGCTTTGCTTCATGCAACTTACGGGTTGGTCCCAAGCGCTGCAACCTTTTGAACAGTAGGCTGTAAATTAACTCATCATCGTACAGTAAAGTACAGTCAAACGAACTTCACTGATCACTGCCAAACTTACAATACATATGAAGCTAGCGGGAAAAGGTAACATGGACAGATATTGGATCCATTTTGAGGAAGGGGAAAGAAAATGAACCTGTATGATCAACACACGGAGTACACAATCTAACTGTGCATACATACCGTTTCAAGCATTCTGGCCTGATAAGAAATGACAATGACACACGACCGTTCAACGTCAGTGAAACGTTGCGTCTAAGTCAAAGGTGTTTCACTCCTGCATACACCGCTTGAGCTTTGGAAATGTAGGCGCTACTGACATTGGTTACAAAACCCCCTAAATAGGGAAATGAAATTCATTGTAACTAATTCCTGGTTATTTGTTTTCAAAGCGGGAGTGAGCGACAGCATCACTTTGCACTTTGAAGGTGTGAAGCACATACCGAATGTGATAACAGTACTTTCTAGTCGATCCAGTGCGCTTTGCGTGTCCTCATACATTCGAAAGACAAGCGATTTCATCGGCGTACTCTAAATCACGCGGCTTTTCTCCAACTGTCCACTCAACACCTACGGTTTGGTGACCACTTGGTGCGTTATCCAGAATTTTGTCTACAACTGAATTGAACACGAATGGTCAAAGAGGGCACCCTTGACGAATGCCACCGCTGGTGAAGAACGGCCTCACTCGACCAGAGGCATGGAAGTACACTGCCCTCAGTAAGTTGATGTCCTTCCGGGGTATTCCTTTTCGAAGAAGCGAGCCCATCAGAGCTTCGCGGTCAACTGAGTCGAAGGCTCCTTTCAGGTAGAGGCATACTGCGATCGTTGGTCGACTGTGGGTGTGGCACAGCTCAAGGCCCTGACGCAACGTAAAACATTGGTCACTACATCCACGTCCAGGTCGGAATCCGACTTACTGTTCACGGTTGTTGGTATCTTTTAAAAGAGTCAGGCGTCATAATATAACGGAGGTTAAAAGTTTGGCGACGATTGGGATCAAACTTATCACGCGGAGGTTTTCACAATCATTGCGAGATCCCTCCTTAAAGATGGGAACGATCAGTGATCCGCCCATCGATAAAGGAATGTTCTCTTGTGTCCAATTTTTGTGCAGTAAGTTACTAATAGAGCCTACAAGGTTATGGCTCCCTCTTGAAAAGAGTAGGAGGGAATCCATCCTCTATTCAGAGCTTGAATACGAGACCGAACTTCTGTTTCTGCCAGTGGATCACAGGTCACTGCCCACGGAGCTTCAGTTGCAGATGAGGTAATCTGGCTAGCGTCAGGTCGACTGAACTGTTCGCTCAAGTATTTCGCCCAGCAATCAAGCCGTTGTTCCCTATTGTGAGTAGCTTGTGCTCCTTTATTGCCAACTTTTTCACTAACAGGGGTTTACCGACCTCCCGTATTGCGTATCAGTCGGAACAGTCTGACGTCCCTGATGCAGCTTCTACTTTCATTTTACTAGCTACTGTTTCCCACCGTTTTTCGCTGTCCTTCTTGTGACTCTTCGTGATTTGACGTTACAGACGCCATCTAACCCTGCTTTGGTCCTGGCAGGTAGAGTTTTGTCGTTTTATCTCCACTTGAGCTCATACTCATGAGATCTAATTCCTCCGACGGGCTTGAGACTCAGACCCACAAACAACATTCTCTGCGGAATGCGTTGCTCGCCTAATCTGATCCCACTACTCATCTACACCATCGCGTTGGTTCACGCTTAGCTCAAGCGCTAGCTCTGATCCACGTTCACGCGCTGCTGGGACAGACAAGCGATGAAGTACTAGCCAAGTTTGCTGGTTTTATCGCGGACCAATGAGTCCGAGAGTGAACTATGTCAAAACTAAGGCGTTGTCAGACTCAACGCAGGTGGTCCAAAAGAACCTGTAATTTTTCCATTGAGCCACGCCAACGTTTGCTTACGGCAATGCGGTCGATTTGAATTAACGTGCCAGTTGAATTGGTGCGCAATGTGACCGTCCGTCAAGAGTTGTGTTGCAAGTTGGTACTGGATAGGAAAAAATGGTGAGTTTCGTAGAACCAATGAAATCGATTACCGTTATCTTTCCGCAGGCGGAACAGAGCACAACTACCGCTTAGACAAGCTTCTGAAGCTCTCAGTTTTCTATCCTCCGAGTTAAAACGCGTCAAAGCCCCCTGCGAGTACAACTTTGTCGGATGTTCGACGCAACCGAATGAGTTCGGTGAAATCGTCCTTTTTGTTTCTGGACTGCAGTTGTTCGGTGCATATACCCTTATGATAAGCAGACACCTTTTGTTGTTTCTTCCATTCCTGAGGTCGATTGAACACTGAAGACATCGCAACTAAACGACGGTTGACGGGGATCCAATCGATCGAAGAGGGCTGGGCCCTATTGCTGAGTACAATACCCACCCCGCGCTGACCTAGTGAACGGGCTTCGTCGTCGCCTGATGTGCAAAGAACGTACCTTGAGAACAAATCTGGTGCGCTTCACACATTGACGCATCAAGCATAGGGGTTTAAGGTTGATAGCAATAGCGTCAAATCTGTTGTCCGTCATTTTTTCTAGATTGTACAAAATATATACTTGAATATATATATATATATATGCAGTATATAAATATTATATATATATATATATTATATGTACATGAAGAGCAAACCCACCAGGAGCAGGCTGGGTTTCGCGCTGTTATTGATGCATCGATCAAGTTCGATCACTCTCCGACAGCTGTTAGTGCACCGTCATTCCTACAAGATGCCAACTATGTTTGTGGTCTTAGACATTCGCGCAACTTTCGATTCCTCCGATAGGACCGCACTGTGAAACTTCGCCGAGGAACGGAGTGTCTTGGAAGTATTCGTCGATCCTCAATGAGTTGTATCGTCATACCTCCGGTAGAGTTTGGGCCTATGCCAGCTTTCGCTACCCTTTTGTTTCTCCTGTGTAGTTCTGTTTTATTTTCCCAATCCTGTTTAGCTTTGCCATAGTGGATATTTTATAATACGCTTTGTGCGGACTAGCAAACCTTGGAGTCGAACTCCTCCCAGGAAACAAGGTTCTTGACTTAAAATATGCCGATGACATCTTGTTGGGTGATAATGCACAGGCAGTCCAACACACTTTTAATCGGGGTGTCCAGATGTAATATATTCTTTGCATCATCAAAGCGTGAAGTGCTTTTACAAGACTGGCAGAAGACCGTGTCTCTACCTACCCCATTTAGTGATCAGCCGGAAGTAGTCAAGAGCTTGATCACAACTGGAGGTGGGTATGAGGTCATATCACGAATAGCGAAAGCTAGAACAGCTTTTGCCAACCTTCGACACCTGTGCCTCCACCATACTATTCAACTTTATCTTCAGGGAAGAGAGTACATTGTTGTAGTTCGTGGCGTTCTGCTTTACGGTTGCGTAACCAGGCCACCCCGTGTTTAGGATGCTAATCGGTTTTCCGCATCCGACCATCGATGTCTTTGTCGTATTACTTGTGTGGGAACATTGGGTGAATAATGACGAGGTTCGTTGTCGTGCGGTGGGTGCGGATAGTAGTTCTCTAACAGAAGTAATCACTCTACACTGCCTTGGATGGCTTGGTCACGTTTCGCGTCTGTCTGCACATCGTCTACCTTTCCGTGCTCTCTGGAAGAACCTTCGCGGTAGTCAGNAGCGTAGCGATATGCAAAATCCAGAGCATTGGTTTCGGTTGGTGCAACCCGTCTTCCGAATTGGGGCCTAAGGGTGTTGGGTTATCCTTTGGTTAGAGACGCTGAGATACAACCCGGAATAGTAGTCAGTGGCTTGACTGCTGTACGATCTGCCTGTCAAAGTCTCCTTGCCCATAAAAACGATAAACTAGCGTAAAAAATACCAAAGGTTATACCGTGAAAAACATAAAACATATTATTATTGTATTCAACCCATTATAGTTGTTCGCTTTCCATATCTTTCTGTTCTGTACCTTAATTGCACCATTTTCTGTTACTGTTATAGTTTTGCTGGCACTTTGATTGTTCGCAAGCCGGTTATATATAAATATATCAAAATCACTGTGAGATTGCCCTCCTTTCGTTCATCTTCCAGTCACCAAGTTCTTGGTTGACACTACTTCTATATTTGGCGTTGCTCAGACATATACAGAGAAAAAAATATTATTTGCAACGTCACGCTTCCAGACTGAACAATGACAATACATTGGATGGTGATAAATAAACGTTTTTGAAATGTACTTTTTGTACTTTATTCTAGTTGCTGCTGCATACAAGTCCGTGTTGTCGTCTGGAACGTTTTAAAATCTATTTTGTCAAACTAATTCCTTTTTTGCATCCACCATTATGGTGGGCTGCTGAACCATTCGCATTCACATCGTTTCTAAATCCAAGTAATGAAAGTACTCTGTAATTTTTGTCGATTGCTTTTAATCAGTTGTTGTGTGTGACCTTCATGGAAATACAAATATAGTCATATGACCTTCAGCAAACCCTCTGACACTTAATGTGTAGAATCCCTGAGGGTTCCGATACCCATCTACATCTAGCCACAAATCCTGTTCCATTACTTGATTTCGCAACTGCTCGACTGGGGAGAGTAGCCTTCGCAAAGCAGTAAATACGTTCGTTTTAACGAGCCTTAGTTCAGTTCAGTTTCTACAACCATTAACCGTGCACTTTCGTGCGCCGGTTTTGGTTGCTGTCTTTTTGTTGCCCATTTGGATAAAAGAGCAAAATGTAGATTAAAATGTCGAAGCAAATTCAAGCGGATGGTGGGGAATTCATATAGAGTTGTGTTAGGAGAATAACGAGTGGATGCACGAGCGCCACTGTTTGCGACACCCAGCCATATCACTCAGTGTAGCTAACCATCGGTGACCATCATCCCGAGGTCCCCAGCCAGGGAGCCTAACGGGGTGTTGTTGTTACTTATGTCCTGTCATTCACCTTCTCTCCTCGCGCTCGAGTGTATTTATCAGGTACCCAAGTTATTTTCGTTTGTTTCTTTTTACGAAATATGAGACAAGTATGGCTTTAACTCATCATTTAACTGTCTTAGCTCGTTCCTTTTTTACTCCCTTGGCTTATTATCGAGGTCCAATATTGTCATGACCAGGCTAGTTTTGTGTTCTTTCACCAGTCTATCGTTGTGGAATGCTAAACAATGATTTCTGTTTGACTTCTTCCTGCTCAGTTGATTTTATTCTAAATGGTACACATTCTCCAACCTGACAAACATATCTAACGCAAGTGAAAAACCCCAGCTGAAATGGAGTTTCTTGTTTTCATTATATTGCTCCATCTTGAAGACAGTGATCAGAGTTGTCAGCTGGCCAACAAAAATCTAAAATTCTCTGGTTACGGGTTCCCTTCCATCGGTTACTTTCAGGTTCTTTCGCGTGAGTTGTTTGCCTCCGAGGTTCAGGAAACATTGACATCAAAACAGTTGCGTGGTCGCTGCCAAGTTAGCCATCTAGCTGATTTACGTACCGCGATGGATACATTTCGTCCTACTGAGGAGGATAACTTCTTTTATGTCTTTGCGTACAACCCGGAAACACGACGTCTGATGAATACACGAGCAGAGATTCGGGTGAGTGCTTCTGTCCCTCCTTGCTCTCATTCTCAGTCTGCAGTTGTGATTTTCGGTCTTATGTTTATAGCTGTCCGTTTGACCGGAATCAATTTTTAACCAAAGTCTATGATATGGTGGAGAAATTTTGATGTTCATATGCCACTATCTTGACATCATCTCATGTACTTAGAAGTCATCTTTTTCACTTAAAAATGATCTACAGTTCTACTTTTCATGGTGTTTACTTCAGGTGGGGAATGCTTACCAAGCATCCATCCCTCCGTTTCGTCACTATCCCCCCGCCACTTATCACTCAAGACCACATAGGCGTTCCGATTGTTCTAAGCATCATCGATCCGCGGAACGTATTGCAGCACAGAGTATGGATCACTCGGCAGTGTCATCCAGTGAAACAGCTCGCACTGAGACATTAGTACACTACTCTTCCAACGGACCGGTAGAAACAGCATCAGATCGACTTAATGTTTTTGAAGATCTGCCTGCCGCACGGTCGCAAAAGTTGAAAGAAGATAGTACTGCCACCGAACCCCACTCGTCAAACGTATCTGTCAAACCAACCAAACCAGATGAGGAGTTTCCCGACTCAGTCGCTGGTGAGGAACCCAAATCTCCACCCAAACTGAAGTCATTTCTTTCTGACTCGCCCAAACCTTCCGCGACTCCGCCCCCAACCTCATCAACTTCAACTTTTCATTCCGGAGACTGTATGCCTGTATCCCATCGACATCAACATCACAAGCGTCACCATATCTTCCATCGTCGAGGTGATTCTTCTCATCTACGCGATCCTCTACGACGACACATTGCACAAGGTCGCTCTATTGAACGTGGTTCTGTTATGCGTCGTTCCGGCCACCGACGTCGAAGACGCCGTTGGGAAACTATGGTGTGGAGACCACAAGGACTCAGTAAAGCCTTATCTGGTTGCTCACCAGATCCGATGGTTAATCGTGTTGCTCAAGGTGATAATGAATTGGCTGATGAACCGTTAAAGACATATCTAGATGCGGTCCGGTCAATGGTTGCATTTTTCGGCTTCGGCGGTGCAGATGATGACCTCTCGTCGGCCGAGAACGGATTGGTTTTGGCTAATCTCGCTCAGACAACCCAACACGCATATGACACTCTGCACAAATCAGACTACTCTCTGACACAGGCCTTGCAAGCTATTTCATGTAATCCGATTGTGTCAAAGGTGAGTTGGTCCTTGTTCTTTTATTATCTTCTTCATTGTGACTTGTGCTTGGCGCAATACTATTTGATAACGAAAATCGTCAGTAGGGTTATTGCAGATTGTTCCTTTGTTTTGCTAGTATTTTAAGCCAAACTTAAACGTTTTATATCAGAACTGTCTCCATTTCTCATTTTCGTTCTTTACCGTAGACTTCCTCTTCCTCTACAAAGCATTTATTATCCAGTTTTATTTTGAAAGAAGCATGCTGATCTATAAATATGCAGAATGTGCTGATTCTGTTCATCCCAATACTCAACTATGTCTAAATAACGTTCTCAGAACGCGAAGTGATTCATGATCCAGTTTAGTAAAGTAGAAAAGTTAACAAAATCTGCGTTCCGCCCGGAAACTGAGTTGTTTACCACGGTCCTTCAGTTGAGCTAAATGAAAAAGTATAAAAGGTCAGTTCAAATAAAATGATCCCAACTTTCCTTGTAAACGGTTGTATCGGAATTCAACAGACCCTACATTGTTTCACTCACAAAATTCCATCCACGATCTGACCCAATTTTCGCTGTCTATTATCCGTTAAACAATTTTTCATGAAATGATCTGCATTTAGAAAACAGGAGGGTTTTGCATTAACCTATTGCAAATCTACCTGATTGATTCTGTTTATTTTTATTCATTGTTGGATCATACTTTTTCGGCTTTTCCCTCAATTGATTGATAAATCTTTTTGGCTGAAATGCAGCCAGCGATGCCAGGACAGATGCGTGCAGAATAGTGTTATGTCGCACCAAATCAACTTTTAATGTCCGATTCCCACCGTCTACCTCCCAGAATCAGACGCCCACAAGATCAGCGCAAAAGTTACATTCAAGGGCGATCAACGGCTAACACTTCAGTTTCAGTTTGTATAACCATTAGGCATGCACTTTCGTACGTTTCATTTCAAAGGAAAACGTGTTCAATATGTCTGCGTATGCAGTTCTTGAGTGTTCCAGAAAATGTGCGCGATAACCGATATTGGAACATCCAAGGGCCCAGGTGACCAATAAGATTGAGTAGATTGAGGATTCACGTGACTGTTCGTAAATTTCAGTGCATTCCAGGAAAAATCTCTGAAATCTTCGGTTGGCTCTTACCGTTGATTAAGTTCTCCTATAGAAATGGACCGATTTTCAGGAAGATTTTGCTTTTCTGACAAACGGTGAAATGCAACTTTATTTTGTCTTTGTATAGCGTACGGTAAAGAAGAAAAAACTTTGTCACAAGAACTGTTTTATAGTCCACATTATTCACGCTCTCAGAGTTTTGATCTGAAGTGACGAGGATATGGTCAGAACAGCAAAATCAATTTTTATTTTTTATCGTCTCCCGGTTGAACTGAGACTCGGAGTGGGGTCAACTAAATCATACCACAACATTTTGCACCTTAAGAGTGCAAAACATCCTGAATACAACATACCCTGCCAATCAAATCAGTCAAAAAAGTTTGTAACTTATTACGCCTCTTATGGTGATAATCATTTATAGGGCTGAACCCTATGATCCCGGCTTTGGTTACAAACAACCAAAACCCTGGTATTTTCAGTAGCTAACTACATACATACAGGTATTAACCAAACTCGTGCAACATCATGACTTTTCCAAAATCTATTTATCTCATTGCCAAACGTTTTGATCCTCATGCACGGGCATGTGTATGGTATTACCCTAGGTCACTCGCAAAATTTTTCTAATACTAATAAATTATATGGTTGCTTCTTTTGGCCGAGCGCGTTAGAAAAGTACAATTTCTCCATTTCGACTATGGTTGCTGACGCATCGACTGTAAGATAACCGAACGTTTGTGGGGGGAAATGATAAAAGTTTATTCGTGAAAAGAACTTATATCAATTACACAGATTGAGGAGTTCCATATTTTTAATGATCTGTGTGT